ATGGATGGTGACATTGGACGTCTCTCAGCAAAATCTTTTCATGTGAGGGAGTCGCCCGAAACAGGCTACACATCACGTTTGGGGATAAAACAATTATGCCCTTTTAAAGGGAAAACATAACCATGCAGTGCAGTGAGCATCTTTCCAGAGACCTTGATCTTTGACGGTTGACCCAATTGCTACATTTCACACGAAACCTTACTGAGCTCAACTGCAAATTACACATTTCGTTACATTTCGCTTCCTTGTTTGCCTTATTAAAAATCGGATTCAGTACTTTCTGATGAAAGTACGGTAACAGGCGTCAAAGAAATAAGAACAAGCAGACAGAGGCATACGCTCAGTTTCATTTATGTCACCTAAGCTACGATAATTATGTATTAAAATGAAGTTTTAAGTTTAATACTTGTCAATCATATATAAGTAAACAAAGAATATATTTGAAATTATATTTTTCTTTCAGTTTTGTGTCCTAAAAGGGAACCTTCAGCAGTGCACCAACCACCAGAACATGATCAACTTGGCCGACGTAAAGACACTTTCGATATTTCAGGATTTTACCATTGAAACAGTTACCTTGAACATTGACTGAAATGAAATTGTGCCTTGGATAGACGAAGCCGGCGTCTGAAATGATGGTTGAGAATGTGCAATTGACATGACAAAAAACAATGTATGCCTCGTCTATGACCTACGACTTGTCCCATTGTTAGGGCTTGCCTTCCATATTATGCTTGCTGGTTGTGATAGTAAAATTCTGCGTCGTTAAACCCAACTCGCTCACACATGGTGAAAAAGAACAATCTGATGCTTCAAATAGTGTCTTGATTTATGTTCATAGGTCTGGTGTTGTCTGATGGAATTACCCATTTGCAATTGTACCAAATATTCACGTGTTGTGTTAGCTGAATATTTTGCTTGCCTTTGCATGTATTTGTAACGGGTGCCTGGGCAGGAAATGCTCACCGTTTTAGGAAGACTTGGTATCGCCACTATTTGATAGTGATTCATGTTAATTTGTCGCTTTTTTTTACGCCAAAGTCATCAATATTCCAGATACATGAATGTGGCCTGTAAATAATCGGGCTCATGTCAGAATGATTGTTATTATGACCATCTTACGACGCTTGGATACGGGATTAAACTGAATGTTATCAATGTCTATCTGTATATCTATTCATCTTTCCAGAGGTGAATATGAAGATGTTCATATGATATCCACGTAAAATTACAGACTTACTTATTACTTAAACATAAATCGCCTGACATTATAATGACGTTGTATTAGCCTACATATGATGATATGTATCAACATAATGTTACCATGCATCTTAATGGCTTTTCATATATACGAGAAACAATATATAGGAGAACCCTGTCATTTCAGCTATAAGAGTCAGCGAGTAAGGTTTTAAGCCGCTATTAGCAATATTCCAGCAGTATTACGACGGGGGACACCAGAAATGGTCTTCACACATTGTACCAATGTGGGGAATCGACCCCGGGCCTTCGGCGTGACAAGCGAACGGTTTAACCACGAGGCTATACCGCCGCTCCTTCAGCTATAAGAATGAAATGACCAGCTTTGATGTACGCAGTTACTGAACGCGGACAGCAAACTCGCTCAAATTGCAAACATGTACATAACACATGCGGTCCACGCTGACACATCCTGGTTACTTGCATGTGCCAATAAACGTCACAACCACATGGTTCATTGATCTGGTACAGCGAAGAAAATGCTTCCAAAAGTGTCCAAGACAGGAGGACTGTGGTGGCAGCATCATGGTCTGGGCCTTTGTCATTTACAACAGGGCAGATCTAATGATCGTGCAAGGGAATATGGCCAGTCAGCGTTATGTGGACCAAATATTACTTCTAGTAGTAATCCCATCTGCCCATTGCGTAGGTCAGTTCCAGGATGACAACGCACGCCCTCAAAGATATCTTGTTACAGTCGACTGTCTGAGACAGCAATGTGTGATAACATTGGTCAGACATGTCACTAATTGAACACCTTAAGGATGAAGGGTTCGCAACCGACCTCAGCGTTTCAAGAATGATACCATTGTAGACAATCCGTGTTTTGATTTCAAGTGTGTCCTGCATCAATGCTTGCGGGGCGTGGACAAGATTCTGACTTTACTTTGAAGACTGAATTCCCCAAAGTCATTTCTTTACATTGCATTTCTGAAAAAAGGGTTCCCTTAAATATTGTTCCTGGTATAAACCCCAACTGGGATTCAGGGTTGCTCCGCCGCAACTTATGTTTATCGGGGCGTCTAATGGATCGGGTAGTCAGGCTCCTTGACGTAGTTGATTACGTTGCGTGTATCAATGACTGGTTCGTCTTGTTAAGCCTAGATTATTTACAGGCCGCAGTCATATACCTGGAATGTTGCTTAGTGCGGTCTTAAACAACACACAAACAAACAAACAAATACATAGTGACACCGTCACAATGGTGTTTGCCTTGACAATATAACCACCAGAAATAGCTCGCATACGCGAACAAGCCGTGTACAAGATATCACTCCCAGACGTCAATAATTGTGGATAAATTGGTCTGTAATATTTTATTTCCACGTGACGTGCTTAAACGTGATTCAGTGAAACAGCTCTCACAAGAACTTTGGATCAAAGAGAGTAATATAACTCTTGCTCAACATTTAGAGGTTGTTTGATCAGGGTTACATGTAGTTGACAGTGATTAACAAATGTATCGGATCCACTTCTATTTAGATGATGTTTGCACATTCTGCTAACAGAATAAATCAGTTGTCACGGCAGTATGTGGTGTTGTCCATTAGGGCATGAGGTCATTGTGATTCATAAAAAAACATGCTCACGATATATTCGGAATCGTACAATCGACTGTTTTTCGCGGAGATTTCTTATGAATTTCAGAAGGGTTTGTCCTTGTTGTATGGTAGTTTTTAAGATGCTAAACTTCTCCCTTTCTATTAATTGTAAACAACACATTATATTGGCTGTTTTGTGTACGGTGAACTTGAGTTGTAACTGGCTGATAATATGAGCCAACCTTCACCCTTGTTTTGTCGATACACATGAAAGCTAAGATAATATATATTTTCTGTTCTGAGAGAATAAAAAGTAGAACTTGGTTTTTTTGCAGCACCGCTTCTTACAGTCAACACTGAATGCCGAATTTGATGCCTTGAACAAGATTACATTTGTTTATAGTCAATATCATGCTCACACGTTCCAGCTTTCGAATACTTGTAGTTTGGGACTTGAAGATGTTGTACTGTTTGTTATACTTTATTGAAATCGTTGACAAAAGAAGCACATAAAAAATCCTTATGATGTGCATGCAAATTTCTACATACACATATATCTTACTTCATTAAATTATGTGTAAGATATTGCCCCATATCTTACATGTTGTGCCGACAACTTTCTAATTATCAACGTGCAGAAAACTAAAGAGCTAGTAAACGGCTTTCGCAAGAAGAAATCCTAAATAGCACCAGGAGTGACTATAAACGGAGATACGGCGGAGGTTGTGTTACAGATTACGCATATCTATCATCGACAACAAACTGACATTTTCACGAAATGCGGAAGCTGTTTTATAATAGATGCCAATCACATCTTCACTTTTAACGAAAACTGAACACGCTTTATGTTAACTTGTCTGTTATGTCATCGTTTCATAAAACAATGTATGCAGTCCTTTTTAAGTTTCTGTAATCATTGTTTTGGGAGGAAAAATCTCAGGATGTCAGTTCAAATCTATAGAGGAGCTGTAAAATAACCAACAGAAACAAAATAATAAATATTAAACTGTGCTGTTATTATAATGAGACAATATGTAATTCACCTGAAACCCCCCTTTCAATATATATATATATATATATATTGGCACACGGCATTGTCAGGCAAGTGTGATCTAATTCATGTTGTCTTCAATGTTAATTCCGATTATGAATATTATCTTTTAACTTCATCTCATGGTAGATAATATGAACAACCAATGTCAGATTCATCTTGATTTGTTGTCCAATCCCACAATCAAGGATGGTCAGATGTATAAGTGTGCATGCGAAAAGAACAAGTAAGATTGTCAAGATTATATTGCCGCCCAATCCCGCAAAGAAGCAAATACAAGTGGTGAAGAGAAGGAAGGTTGTTTGGAGGACAGTACATTCACTGGGATGAAGTCAAATGACACAAGTGTTTGCAGACACAAGTAATGTACCGCAGGGCAAGAAAAGCTACTGTCATAACCAATGGCTTCCGGCAATATATATATGCTCACAGGTAGTCTGACTTTCCAGTGGAAGGATCCGCTCAATGCCATTCAAGTTCCATTCTGCGATAAAGTACATTTATAACCTTACTATGTAATGGGACCGCCTCCGTGGTCTATTGGTAGAGCGTCCGCCCAGAGAGCGGAAGGTCCGGGGTTCGATTCCCGACCGCGTCATACCAAAAGACGTTAAAAGATGGTACTTGTTGTTACCCTGTCTGGCGCTCGGCATTAAGGGGCTAAAACAAGGACTGGTCGGCTCGGAGTCAGTATACTGTGTCTGAGTGGGGTATTCATGTTAAACTGGGGCATGGTATCTCAGTGAGCTAGCACTATAAATCGGCATCAGTCCGGACTAGTACAAGCAGCCACACACACACACACACACACACACACACACACACGTGTGCATGCACGTCGCTATATAAGTGCAATAATCTTCGACGCGACGTTAAACCCCATTTCATCTCACCTACTATGTAATGGGCTGAAATCAAGGCGCTGTTCAAATTACTCCCCTCCCTGATCTAACGTGTCGTTGGTTACTTTGCGTCGTTAAGGTCACGAGTCAACGCTTGAAACTCATTTGGATATAATATGATGGTCCCATGACGATATTTCTTCCAACAAATTAACCTTTGAATACGGTTTTCATAACGGAGGATAAAATCGGTACATTCGTAGAAAGCGGTTTGACTGACTAAAAACAAAAATAACTGACAAAATGTGATTTGCAAATGTGTATTGAAAAGAAACGTAAAAATAACATGAACCTACAACATACGTATTCTAAGTATTCTTTGAGTGAGAATGAGATTTCTTCCACACCCGTGGGTGAGAAACTCATTTGAGATAACTGGTATCAAAAACATGTGGGGGATCGATATCCAGGCCCGTGACTGGCTACTGGATGGTCATCACGAATTCTCGGTCTATGTCTAAACTTGAATTTAGAGTGTTGCATAAATGTTCTTTGAACATATCTGGTTTGCATTTTCATCATCATCATCATCATCATCATCATCATCATCATCATCATCATCATCATCATTGTAATCCACAGATATGTCAGAAACGTGTTTGTTGAGAGTCACACGACGTCTGAGTAGTTTGCAGAAAGCCGGATTAAGTGACTCATGGCCGTTTCTATGTATCAGTGCAACGATTATGAGAACAGACAAAATATGTATCGATTCGATGCTGTAAAATGGTGCGATTTGGGGTGTGTAAGAAACATATTACTGCACCCATGCCTGCAAGTATATTATATATCTGGCTACGAATTGTTCAAAACGTATCTAATGAACGAAATACTTACTCATAGTGTAATCGTTATACATGTAGGTATATTTGATTGTGTCCATATGGCAGATGTACAGTTTGAGGATGCCGAAATATCATATTAAGTTACATTTAGTTTATTTCTTAAGTTTTACATATTCCTTTGCTTTCATGAGAAGAAGCACAACTCTCATCAATTAGTGTGTTTTGATTAATAACATTGAATGAACTGAATATATTTCACTACAACAATAAAAAAAACGTAAAATAATCAAAATATATCAATTAATATTTCATTTCATTGGCTTTTCGCAGACAAATCCCTGATTCCAACTACAGGACACGTCATCCATGCAGTAGTCCTTGCGTGCCCACATGCTTCCGCACTTGGTTCCATTGGGCTCACCATCACACCATTTCACGTTAGTCATCGTAGTGCCATCGGTCCACTGGAAATCCCCATGCGTTCTCCGAGCACCTACGAAGTAGTTCTGGGGCTTACCTATATTGAAAGTGGTGATCATTAGTCAGCAAAGGTTTACCACTGAAAGTGAATGAGTTTGGTTAGACGCTCAGGTTTCAAACGTTTACATCGGGATTTTTAGTATGACTTACGTAAAAGCAAATACGGTAGAAATATGTCATTACATGTCCTGAAGCTTTTAAACAGTTTTATCGTAAACATGTTTGATATATTTTTAAATCTGACACATCAGTGATCAAAATGATATATGATGCTATTCCCTTTTTCAACTTGTATCATATGTTCCTACGTAATTTCAGGTTAAAACTTGATTTACCTTTACATGTGTTTGTTATGAGTGGGGCAGGATTCGCTCACCCTTTACAGAATACCTGTTATCTTAACTAATTGATATTGATTGAAATACACCAAACTATGATATAGTCGGAATAGTACAACGAACATTCATTATTATCCTCTGTTGTCCTGGTTGGCTGTTCGAAAGATGAGTGAGTGAGTTGTGTCTCATGCCACTTTTAACAGTATTCCAGTCATATCACGGCGTGTCAGCTTAATGTGGGAGGAAAGCCCCAAGTGATGCAGTTGTAAACGTTTTCCTATTCGGTGAAACCCACAAGCTCGGGTATGGTGCTGACAAACCTAGAAACATAATCGGGGCGAACCGGGATTCGAACCCACAATCATAGGTTTCTAGCGTGCCCAAAGGACGCAACTCTGCACAGCGAATTGCGGCGCATTAGACGACTGGGACACCCATGCCCCCTGTTAGAAAGGTGAGTGAGTAAGTATGGTTTTACGCCGCTTTTAGCAATATTTCAGCAATATCATGGCGGGGGACACCAGAAATGGGCTTCACATATTGTACCCATGTCGGGAATTGAACCCGGGTCTTCGGCGTGACGAGCGAACGCTACCCGACCGCCCCCTGTTAGAAAGGGGTAGGTTTACAATTATAACATAAACAATAAAATGAAACCCTATGGTCAACTGATTCCTTTTTCTTGTTGGTTGGTGTTGGGATATTTAAAAAGTCTATACTAACTCTTTAACATAATAATATTATTGTTGTGTGCACATGTGATGAATTCCAGACAACAGCAAGAGGACAATTTGAATATCGGTAATTCGCAGATGATATATAAGATCAGCTTCCTGTGGTTGATGAAACAGTGGGCCCTATTAAGGTTGATGTTTCTGTCAGTACTATATATATCAGTACATGTATTGGGATGTCACAATTATACTTTCCGCATCGTATCCGAATAGGTCTGTGGCATTTGGCTGCAGGTTATACTACTTCCTGCATTGTTCCATGTTACTGACGTGGTGTACCATGTAATAGCAGGTCACATTACACGTGAGCTTGTAATACAAAGTTTGTATCTACTCAATGAATTTCCTGAACTTTATCACTTGAAAAGAGGGGTCCCTTCATCCTATCTAAATCATTTTAAAACCCGCTCCGTAGAAACGTCGTGGATGTTGTGTAAATAAATTAGTAGTTTTTTTGGTGGACCAAGCTTCAAATATTTTGATATTTATATGAGTATGCATTGCCCGGTGATGGAGGAACATATAGACACGCCCCTGAAGAATAGTGAGTGAGTGAGTTAAAATTTATAGTCACATCGGCAATATTTCAGCTATATCGTGACTAAATCAAGTTGTATATACGTACAGTAATAAAACATCAATATATAATCTATAAAATCTGTCGACAAAGGACAGTAAAAGAACTAGAGTATCACAGCTATAGATATAAAACTAATAAGTAACAAAACATTTGGACTATTCACCGTGAAGAATAGACGATGTTGATTTACATACCCTCTGTCTCATGCGATTGACAGTCTTTGAACAAGAAGCTGAACATATTAACAACTACTGTATGTCAAGCTGTCAGTAACTGTCAACACATGTACAGCAGCATCGCTACTGTCGCTTTGTAAACGTGGTCAAACATTTTTTTTATACACTATGCAATAGACACCAGTCACTAGACTTCTACAATAGGTGAGGTGACATTGGGTTAACGTCGCGTCCAAGATTATTGCACTTATATATCGACGTGCATGCTCGTGTGTGTGTGTGGCTGCTTGTACTAGTCCGGACTGATGCCGATTTATAGTGCTAGCTCACTGAGATACCATGCCGCAGTTTAACATGAATACCTCACTCAGACACAGTATACTGACTCCGAGCCGACCAGTCCTTGTTTTAGCCCCTTAATGCCTTGCGCCAGACAGGGTAGCAACAAGTACCATCTTTTAACGTCTTTTGGTATGACGCAGCCGGGGATCGAACCCCGGACCTTCAGCTCTCCGGGCGGACGCTCTACCTCTAGACCACGGAGGCGGTTCTTCTACAATAGACTTCTCTTCCTCAGAAATAATGATTTAAAACATTTACTAGGTTAAATGAAACGTTCATTTGACGTATGAACGAATAAAGATTAAACGTTACCATCGAAATTAATTTATTAAAATGTTGCTTCACACATTGTACCCATGTGGGGATGACAAGTGAATGTTCTAGCTACCCTACCGTCCCTCGTGCATTGCTGAGGACACAAATATGTGATCAATTCAGTACCAGGAAAACAACAAATGAAATTATACCTGTTCCATCTTGAATGTTTTTGTAGACAGCCTGGCGTTTCTCATCTGTGTCGAAGATGGCTAGTCTTCCACCTGGTACCTCAGCAGCACACACCAACTGAGCAGTAGCCCACTTCAGTTTGTCATCGGCATGGATCTTGTAGCAAAATTTGAGAGCTTTGTTCCAAATGAAGTCTTCAGGACAAACGGCTGTTTCTGCAATAGTGATTGAATTAGGGAATGACGACGTCCCAGGAATGTGGTAGGCCATCACAAGTCAAGCATATGATGAGGTTTTAACATAACCACAAGGACCTTTAAATACGAAGGATCATAATCGGTCCGAATCTGGAATTTGAAACCACAACTATTTCTAACTTGGGAACTCTGCATAGTGGATAGCGGCACCCTAGACTCAGCGTCACACTCTTATAAAGAGACCATTGTGGACTTTGCAATCTTTATTCTTCAGATCTTTCATTAATACTGAAATATGACGTAAATTGACGGTTATAAAGACGCATGATGTGGGATGGAAATTACCCCACCTTCAGACTGATTTCCTTTCCAGTTAAACAAAACGTAAGCAAAACTGACAATAGGCTAGATTCAGGTTAATCAATTAAATAAACTGTTCAATGTTAAGAGCATTCATGAAAAAAAGGATTAATGCTTTCTCGGAAAGGAAACAGTCCTCATGCTTCGGTAGTCATTGCAATGATCTGATTCACCTCATTGTATTTAAACGCGTAAGACAAGTACGCATATTAAGTTTATTCATACGCATGTGTTATCCGCCACAAACACAGGCAAAGGCAAGTAAAACATAAACACGGGAACATATTGAACAAGACAAAATTGGGAATTTCATCGGATATTATTTTGGTCACTGATGCATAATGTCCTTCACATATGTACCATGAAGCTTTTCGAGCAAGAGTCGAATGATATCTTTGAAATCATACTGCCGCAATTAACTCCACGACGTTGTTACAGTGAGTGTGTGGGGCAATATATAACGTTGTATTGCTACTATTTAAGTCATAGTACCATAAGTACCATAGTAAAGCAACAAGGTACATATCACATATCAAATATAGAATAAAATAGAGAGATAAGAACATTATATGCACGTCTAAACACAAATTCAGTCGGGTGATTAAAAATGTTAAAATGCAATTGTATTAATCGGTTTATATGACATAATAAAAGTCGAATTGAACGTCAAAGTTCAACAGATTAAACAGAATGAATATTTCCCTTTATCCAAATGAAATGTGTATGTAAGACATTTTTGCATATTCCTATTGTATTTTAGGAAATTAAGAAACAAACACGACCCGTTCGCATGACTATCCAAGGTAGAATAGGTCTGCAGCAACCCATGCTTGTCGTAAGAGGCGACTAACGAAATCGGGTGGTCAGGCTCGCTGACTTGGTTGATGCATGTCATCGATCTCAATTGCGTGGATCGATGCTCATGAGATCAATCACTGGATTGTCTGGTCAAGACTCGATTATTTACAGACCACTGTCATATAGCTGGAATATTGCTTTTTGCGGCGTTAAACAACAAACCAACCATCCAAATCAAACAAACACGATGAGTATCAGGTATCAGGTATCTGAGGTATGGTATTTACCTTGACTACCCGTACAACTTCTGGAACACGTCTTCTGCATATTCTCTACTAAATCTTCCAGCTTGACCAATCGTTCCTCAAAATTCTCGTTGTATGGTACCCCGAAATCCAACTGAGAAACATCCAACGCTAGATCATCAATATTGTCATCACTCTGAAGTACCGCGTCCTGCTCCTCATTTACTGTGAAACCCTCCTTTTGGCAAGAAACAGACGAGACGAAAAAGACAAGTAATAGTTGTGGATGCATATTCACGGACTGAGTGTTCTCAAATATACCAACACCTTAACGTTGCTCGGTGTACTGGTCGGGAAGGTCGGCTCCCATGGGTATAATTCGGACGGTTCTATTTTCAGCTCGAATATAAATAATGAGTTTGGGTATAATGATATGAATACCCTTCACTAGGTGTGACTTGTGGTTTATGCCAGTATATTGTTATTGGCCTTGTGAACAATCAAACGCCGAGCTGGTAGAGACCAGGAGCAGGAACGTACCTTCATATCTTTACATCAAATGTTTTAAACAGGCCTATTTATTATAAAAATGTTGATTGTTTCTTCCCTTGTGGGGTGTTTTGCAGTATCCGTAATCAGATATAATAGATTATAAACCCCTAGGTTTAGAACTAGTATTGTTGTGACTTTACAAAACCAGTTACACGTCAGTGATTTCACTATGACTTTCAATGGTCATTCAACCATATACTGCAGGTATATGTTATTATGTTTTCATTCTACAGTATTTTCAAGACGTATCAGAGGATTAATCCTTACTGTTCATTCATTCTCTTGTGAGTGATACATTCACTTCAGATGTACCAGCAGATGTACTAGCATACTGATACATTCACTACAGTTGTACCTCTATACTGATACGTTCTCTACAGATGTACCAGCATATTGATACATTCACTACAGATGTACCTCTATACTGATACATTCACTACAGATGTACCTCTATACTGATACATTCTCTACAGATGTACCAGCAGATGCACCAGCATACTGATACATTCTCTACAGATGTACCAGCATACTGATACATTCTCTACAGATGTACCAGCATATTGATACATTCACTACAGGTGTACCTCTATACTTATACAATCTCTACAGATGTACCAGCATATTGATACATTCACTACAGGTGTACCTCTATACTGATACATTCTCTACAGATGTACCAGCATATTGATACATTCACTACAGGTGTACCTCTATACTTATACATTCCTCACAGGTGTCCCTCTATACTTATACATTCTCTACAGATGTACCAGCATATTGATACATTCCTCACAGGTGTACCTCTATACTTATACAATCACTACAGATGTACTAGCATATTGATACATTCACTACAGATGTACCTCTATACTGATACATTCACTACAGATGTACCTCTATACTTATACATTCACTACAGATGTACCTCTATACTGATACATTCACTACAGATGTACCTCTATACTTATACATTCACTACAGATGTACCTCTATACTGATAAATTCACTACAGATTTACCTCTATACTGATACATTCACTACAGATGTACTTCTATACTGATACATTCACTTCAGATGTACCACTATACTGATACATTCACTACAGATTTACCTCTATACTCATACATTCACTACAGATGTACCTCTATACTGATACATTCACTGCAGATGTACTTCTATACTGATACATTCACTACATATGTACCTCTATACTGAGACATTAACTACAGTTGTACCTCTATACTGATACATTCTCTACAGATGTACCAGCAGATGCACCAGCATACTGATACATTCTCTACAGATGTACCAGCATACTGATACATTCTCTACAGATGTACCAGCATATTGATACATTCACTACAGGTGTACCTCTATACTTATACAATCTCTACAGATGTACCAGCATATTGATACATTCACTACAGGTGTACCTCTATACTGATACATTCTCTACAGATGTACCAGCATATTGATACATTCACTACAGGTGTACCTCTATACTTATACATTCCTCACAGGTGTCCCTCTATACTTATACATTCTCTACAGATGTACCAGCATATTGATACATTCCTCACAGGTGTACCTCTATACGTATACAATCTCTACAGATGTACTAGCATATTGATACATTCACTACAGATGTACCTCTATACTGATACATTCACTACAGATGTACCTCTATACTTATACATTCACTACAGATGTACCTCTATACTGATACATTCACTACAGATGTACCTCTATACTTATACATTCACTACAGATGTACCTCTATACTGATACATTCACTACAGATGTACCTCTATACTTATACATTCACTACAGATGTACCTCTATACTGATACATTCACTACAGATGTACCTCTATACTGATACATTCACTACAGATGTACTTCTATACTGATACATTCACTACAGATGTACCTCTATACTGATACATTCACTACAGATTTACCTCTATACTCAAACTTTCACTACAGATGTACCTCTATACTGATACATTCACTGCAGATGTACTTCTATACTGATACATTCACTACATATGTACCTCTATACTGAGACATTAACTACAGTTGTACCTCTATACTGATACAGTCACTACGGTTGTACCTCTATACTGATACAGTCACTACAGATGTACCTCTATACTCATACATTCACTACAGTTGTACCTCTATACTGATACATTCCTCACAGTTGTACCTCTTTACTGTTACATTCACTACAGATGTACCTCTATACTGATATATTCCCTACATATGTACCAGCAGATGTACCAACATACTGATACATTCACCACAGTTGTACTTCTATACTGATACATTCCTCAAAGGTGTACCTCTATGCTGATACATTCCTCACAGATGTACCTCTATGCTGATACATTCACTACAGATGTTCCCCTATGCTGATACATTCACTACAGATGTACCGCTATACTGATACATTCCTCACGGGTGTACCTCTATACTGATACATTTATTACAAATGTACCACCATACTGATACATTCGTTACAGATGTACCTGTATACTGATACATTCACTACATATGTACCACCATACTGATACATTCACTACAGATGTACCTCTATACTGATACATTCACTACATATGTACCTCTATACTGACACATTGACTACAGATGTACCTCTAAACTAATACATTCCTCATAGATGTACCTCTATACTGATACATTCATTTCAAATGTACCACCATACTGATACATTCACTACATATGTACCTCTATACTGATACATTCCTCATAGGTGTACCTCTATACTGATACATTCATTACAAATGTACCACCATACTGATACATTCACTACAGATGTACCTCTATACTGATACATTCACTACAGATGTACCTCTATACTGATACATTCACTACAGTTGTACCTCTATACTGATACATTCACTACAGATTTACCTCTATACTGATACATTTACTACGGATGTACCTCTATACTGATACATTAACTACAGATGTACCTCTATACTGATACATTCACTACAGATGTACTTCTATACTGATACATTCACTACAGTTGTACCAGCATACTGATACATACATAACATGTGCATCTCTATACTGATGCATTCCTCACATGTGTACCTCTATATTGATACATTCATCACAGGTGTACCTCTATATTGATACATTCCTCACAGGTGTACCTCTATACTGATACATTCATCACAGGTGTACCACCATACTCATACAATCGTCACATGCATACATCCTTTCTGATACATTCACAGCAGGTGTGCATTCTAGCTTATGTCGGAGGAAAGTCTGAAGTGATGCAGGTCTCAGATGTTTACTTCTTTGCTGGAATTCACGAGCATGGGTATGGTGCTGACCAATCTGGGAACATAATCGAGGCGAATCGGGATTCGAATCACGATCATAGGTTTCTGGCGATCCATAAGAACACGGAGTGGAAGCGTTTAATAAGAGTATTTCATGGTCTCGTAATTTAATTGTTGTCCCTCGGGTCTTTGATCGAAATATGTCATGTTTATGCAAGTAAGAAAACCAATAGTTAAGCTTTTCTATTGGTAAAGTTTAAAAACAGTAAGTTGGTGGGTTATGTATTCTAGTCGCATACTAGCAGACGCACTCGACTTAACATTCCTCACAGGCTATACACCCAGACCGGTGTTGCTCGCAGTAACCTGCCACTCGATTGTTCATGTTTAAGAATTGACTGAGTGAGGACCAAACAGTACGAACGTCGGAGCTTGCGTGGTTGATGCATATTGACTTCAGTGATGCCATCATGTTACTAATTGACTTACGTACATTCGATAAGAGAGCTATCAGAATGCCAGATTCTAAAGTTGCATGATAGAAAACACAATGACAGAATGTCATTGTGGTTCGTTAGTCTACTCACAATTAAACACAGAAGTATCAATTTGTTACCTGTGTACATATCAGAACAAAAGGTAACCTTAAAGTGATTGAGTTATCTTTTAACCGGAAAATCGACGTCTCGGCTTGTGCTAACAGAAATTATTTCTTCGACAAAAGATGTTTTAAAGTAATGTGTGTTAATGCTGTCTTCTGCCCACTTAAAGTAGCTGGTGAATGTTAATGATGTATGGCCAATCTATGAACACTGAAGACAAATATTGCCTTCCGTTGTGCAACGTCAATCAGTCAGCTTTAGCGATAGATGGATTTAGGTTTTTTAATAATGCATTATTGTCAACATACAACTACGGATAACCCAGCCATTCGGTACATACATTCATCATTACAAACCGGTTTCAATGCAGTTTAAAAATGTCAAATCCTTGTCACAGACTTTCATTATGCGTCGCCATTACGTCCATGCCTTGGGTTGATGAAGACATTGCTGACTTACCTCTCGAACAAAGACATCCACCGACATGGGCAGGGGGCTACTTCTCTTCACATTCCTTGTCATAATTTCTATCAACAGCAGTCTGGCAGCGGGTAGGATATTATCTATTAATTTCATCTCAATCATATTCACTATGTTATTATCATATCACTTTGTAGGCGCGGTCGGGTAGCCTAGTGGTTAAGGCGTTCGCTCGTCACGCTGAATACCCGGGTTCGATTCCCGACATGGGTACAATGTATGGAGCTCATTTCTGGTGTCCCCCGCCGTGATATTTCTGTAAGCGGCGTAAAACTATACTCACTCACACACCATTTCAGTGTGAGTAATATTAAGACAATTATGTAGTAATCTAATTTGTAGGTTCAATGTACTAGGTACATGTCAATCCTCATATTATGTCCACGATCAAACTCCAACATC